TCTGAAGCATCTACATGCAAAACAGACGCGTTTGCCAAAGTCTTCATTCATACTTCCCTTTGCTAATTTTAAGTTAAAAAATAATGTATTCAACTTGGCACAATATACTTTCGTCCACGTATACGACTTACCACCGCCAAATGTAGTTCCTATTGATGTACGTGAGAGCGGAAAATCCATGAGCGTGTGCAATCTACTCACCACTTACGGATGCATCTGAGCAGACTCGACTTCAAGGTGAACCTCTAATGAGTTGGTGAGCTAATTGGTACTTAGGTTGCTAATTATAGGGCTGACTGTTCTTTATAGTTCTCCTCAGCCCTACACCGGCATTTTCAGTTATTTTTCTGATGCATCTAAAGGAAAAAAGGAAGTGATTTGTGTGCATGCATGCATGCATGTATGTATGTATGTATGTATTTATGTATGTAGGATTGTATGTGACTTTAAGTGTAAATCCGATCGTTTCCCATCTCGAGGAGATGAAAAAATGAGATTTGAAGGACGTTGAAGCTCTCTTTGTCCACACACTTGCTCAACTCTCATATATTCGTACGAATTCGAAGAAGTGATTAACAAGTGAAAACTTTGATATACTACGCATCAGAGGCAACACACCCAACGAGAGCATCAACTGACTTTGAATCATGATTATTCACAGTAGAAAAAATGATAGAAATTCAGTTTGTATTTTGCACAAGTTGGTCTAGTTATCAGTTATTACTATACGGTAATTCATTTACTGTGTTGGGTATCTTATCTTACATAGAACCTAGAATAACGTTTCCGGAAAATCCGTCGATCTTACTGAGCTGGATGATAAGAAATGACTGATATTTTGATTTACAAGGTTTTAGCCAATCACTATTGAAAATTCATGTAATGTGTAGTATCTTTTACATTGTATTTCATGGTTTTACGGTCTTAATTGCAAAAATGAATTGCTTGAGGAAATAAACCCACATAATCGCTATTGCTTTCGCATTTAAAAGTTGTAAAATACGAGAATCTTTTAAATGCGAGTCCCCCTTATCTACTCTGAGTGAGCCGATGGATAGTCAACTTTCTTCTTTTCGGTATCTTGGTGTTTTTGTAAACCAAAATCTTATCTGGTCTGATCAAGTCAACCGTGCTTCTGGAGATTAGATGGCTTGGTTTTATGTTTTGTTCCTCAGACCACTTATTCTTCTTGTTCATCTCCAGAGGCCTTTTGGTTTGGCCTGTGTTTTGCCATACTAGCTTTACGAGTTCCTTGTTGTCTTCCTCCGGTTTGTTTATCAAAAACTTTAAACTACTCTCTAGATCCCTCAGCTTTTTTCAATGTACATCCGTATCCGTTTCAAACTTCGGGTTCAGTAAGTTTTAACACACCACATCAAACCTTGTAAAGCATTCTCCCAGTAGACTATCCAACTGTTCTCATCCCCTATAACGTAACCATAGTTAATACCTTTCCTCCTCACCCACCAGTTCTAGGTATAAAGAAACAAGC